AAAAAAAAAAAAAGAAATGTATAATTAACTTAACTGAAGAAAAGATTCTTTTGGGGAGTATGTTGTCATAACATTCAAAGAGATTTCTCTTCATTTAAACTAGGTTACTGTCTTATGTTGATCTGCATCTTTCTGCACATTTGTCATGACAGTGCTTGCATCCTATTTGGTGTACTGAGCAATAAAATTTCCATTTTAAACAAAAAAAAAGAAAAGAAAGGGGTACAAGTGAATCTTTCTAAGAGTAGAATGTGAACGTTTTAAAACAATAACTGAGAAAATGACATGAAGGCTGTGCTGACCAGTTTGATCAAAGTATTTCGGATTGTGAGTGAAAACCCCACACTGTACCCCAGAAGTGCATTAATGTACATAGTTACCATTCAATAAAAAAAAAAAAAGAAAAGAAAGAAAAAGGAAAACAAATGGGAGAAAATGCAACAAACAAAATGATACTGCACTGAATCTTGAACCAAAACAAAGAAATTGTTTTCTGGCTAAACAGGATGCTACTGAGACAAATGAAAAAAACTAAATCTACCACTGTGGATTAAAAAATAGAACTGAATGTTTGCTAAACATCCTGACTTAAATATTATACGATTATTTGTATAAGTGCAAGTAGCCTTTCTTGGGAAATACACGCTAATAAAAAGACACTGAAGCATTCAGAAGTAAAGGGATGGTACCTGCAATCCACTGCCAAACAGTACAGGAGAGAAACTCTCAACATATATACTCTATACACACAAGTGAAGAGAAGGATAATGAGGATTATGTAACAAAAAGGAGCTAGTGAGTCTGAGGTCAGGTGAGAGTATTTGTGTTACTCTTGTAACTTTCTTCTAAGTCTGAAAAAGATTTCCAAGTAAACTTTTTCATGGTTGTGTGTGTGTGTGTGTGTGTTAAGCAGGCCCAGGTTGGACCCGCCAACCCTGGTGCACAGGCCCAGTGCTTTAACCACTAAGCCCAGGCACCCAGACAACTTTATCATGTTTTAATTAAAAAGTCATATAAGGTAAAGAGTATTAATTAGGCTATATGTATTTTTAAAAATCTAAAGGCTGGGGGTTTTTTTTTGGAGACAGAGTCTCACTTTGTTGCCCTCAGTAGAGTGCTGTTGCATCACAGCTCACAGCAACCTCAAACTCCTGGGCTTAAGTGATTCTCTTGCCTCAGCCTCCCAAGTAGCTGGGGCAAACTACTTTGGCTAGCACAAACTCCCGGCTACTTTTTGTTGCAGTTGTCACTGTTGTCTACTATTTGCTACAGCTGTCATTGTTCAAACCAGGCCCAGGTTTGAACTTGCCATCCTCAGTATATGTGGCTGGCATCTGACCCACTGAGCTATGGGCGCTGCCTAAAGACTGTATTTTAAGGAAACACACGCCACAGACTAGGGAAGGGATCTTTAAGCAACAAAACTACATTTCCAGAAAATATTAAAAAATCCTCAATGTCAGTAAGGAAAAAACAAACAACGAAAAATAAAAACATAACTATGAACAGACAATTCAAAAAGGAACCTCAAATAATGAGTAAACTACTCAAAGAACCACCTCCTATTTTGTTCAGCTTACCATCACAGTCTTTTAAACAAAATCAGCTTAACTACTTCTGTGTAAGACCATTTCTGTTATAGAAAAGACTTAGCTCTAAGTGCTAATTGATTTTCTTACAGACTACATGTTGGTTAATGTTACATTCCCTTGACTGGGACAAGAGATGCCCAGAGAGCTAATGAAACCATGACGTCTGTGGATGTCTGTGAGGGTACTTTCAGAGAAGACAAAAATTCCGATCAGAAGACTATAAAGAACCCCTACCCTCACCATGGGGGCAGACACTATCCAAATAAAGAGTTCAGCAAATTCACTTCGTCTTCAGCTGTGACATCTGTGCTCATGGTTCTCAGGTCTTCAAGCTCGCACTAGGACTGACGCCCTTGCTCCCCTGCTCTCAGGCCTTTGGGCATGGACTAGAACTACTGCACTGGCTCTGCAGATCGTGGACCTTCTCAGTCTCCAGAATTACACAAGCCATCCCTCATAAGAAATCTTTCTCCGTAAGTATGTCTATCCTATTGGTTCAGTTTCTCTGGAGAATCCTGATCTAATACACTACATGGGTCATCAAAGAGTGATCAACTTTATGAAGACTATAAGGGATCACATAATTTTCGTGACAGATTATTTTGTAAAACCTCTAGGGTATCATTGTTTTCATAATGACTGAACTCCAATGTAGTTTTTATATTTCCTCTACACAGTATTTAAGAAGTTAAGAAATTTGTAAAGAATCATCATCATTTCTCAACCTCACTACTCAAGTAAGTCCCAGTGTAGACTTCTCCCAGTACATATCCTCTGACTTCTCCTGGAGCTCCTCACCAGAGGTAACTGTAGTGTACCCTGAAGTGACATCTGTCATTACTCTGTGTTCCTACATAGGTTATTCTTCATCTTCGCTGGTAATTAGGAAATGCAAATTAAAATTAGTAAGGTAACAATCTACACATATTAGAATGTCATAATTTGTCAAGTCTAGCCAAATATTGGATATGATGTGAAGCGAAAGCAACTCTGGCATTCAACTACCACCACGATGGTTCTGTTGCCCATGAAGTCAATGCCAGACAGAGGGAGAGCTATATGCTGCTGGCAGCCCTGCACATGACGAGACTGCAACATCAGGCAGCCTTTTACCTGGAAAGCCTCACTTAGCCCAGTAGAACAGACCCAACCAGAAAGGACACCACGCAGCCAGCACACTGCTCTATAAAGACCTCTTGGTAGCCATGTGACAGAATAACAGAGATCAGCACAGATCACATGCGAAGCACAGGGGTGTACATACCTGTCCCAGTCCTCGTCCGCAGCTCTTCTTCTCCAGGACCGTTCCGCACCAGGCTTATCAAACTGGTCAAAGTCGTCATCTGTGAGGAAGAGTGCACTAAAGTCAGTTTTACTAAAGGAAAGACACAAATACCAAAACAACTTGCAATAAGATTCCTGACTTGACATTTTAAATTACAAAAGTTCTGGTGGCACCTGTGGCTCAAAGGAGTAGGGCACTGGCCCCAAATGCCAGAGGTGGCGGATTCAAACCCAGCCCCAGCCAAAAACTGCAAAAAAAACCACTAAAATTTACAGAAGTTCTATATACAACTATCATAAACGCACTAGCCATTTAAGTGATTAAAAAATACAAAGCTAGCCAAAGAAAATCAATTTATTGAGTTTGTTAGGCCTGAAAAATCACTTACATAGGAGAGTTAAGAAAACACAAACTTAAGTAAAATGTTTTCTTTATTAAGTAATGAGTTTTGAGTGTGTATATTTTACTGCAGAAAAAAACGCTGATTTGCTATGTTAGAGAGTTAATTCTTTTGTAATCTTTACTTTTTCCTATCATGAGAAATCAGGACTCTACTTAAGTGAAGCAGAGATAATGTAGAGAAGTACTGAGCAGGAGAAATATAATGCAAGCTACATATATAATTTTCAGTTTTCTAGTAGCCAGATTTTTTGAAAGTAGAGCTAGGTGAAACCTTAACCAGTGAAATTTAAACAATTTTATTTACCCCAGTATCTAAAACATCATTATACTACATACTTATAACTGACACAGAAAGTATTAGCAGGATTGTTTGTAATTTTTCCATACTAAGTTCATATTTGCATACATAGCTTCTCTTGCCTCTCAATGTGGACAGCCCACATTCCAAGTACTTGGCGGCTATACGCGGCAAGTGGCTACTGAAATGGACTGGGAAGAAGCAGCAATTAAGAGCAGAGTCTGTTTCATTTTCTGTAAAATGAAGCCATTATCAATTTCACAGATTTTCTACAAGATTCAATGTGCAACCTATCTTTAAAAAGAGGCATTGACAAACGGGTAGCACCTGATATAAAGTTATTTTTATTATTCGCAAACTCAGGCTTGGCACCTGTGGCTCAAGTGGCTAAGGCACCAGCCACATACACCCAAAGTGGCGGGTTCGAATCTAGCCCGGGCCCGCCAAACAACAATGATGGCTGCAAAAAATAGCCAGGCGTTGTGGCAGTTGCCTGTGGTCCCAGCTACTTGGGAGGCAGAGGCAGGAGACTCGCTTGAGCCCAGGAGTTGGAGGTTGCTGTGAGCTATGATGCCATGGCACCCTACCCAGGGGGAGGGACAGCTTGAGGCTCTGTCTCAAAAAAAAAAAAAAAAGAAAGAAAGAAAAAGAAAACTCAAATAATGGAAAGTAATGTCCTCTGTCTTAGGCATACATGAAGTAAAGAGGCTTGAGAAGCAGCAGCAACAGACAGATACCTTTCCCCAAGTGAGTCCACACAGGGCTAGGCAGAGCCAGATGACATAAACATGCATAAAGCTTCAGGAATTGTCCTAGCCTGGAGCTAGAAATTAACCAATAAATTCCTAACAAAGTAATATATTAACTCTTACCAAGCACTACCAAACAGAACAGGTGCTTTCAAAAAAAAATCCTACTATGTAAAAGGATGTCAGGTGGGGTCTAACTCCCACATGACACGCCTATGGAGCTCTTTGAGTCCACACCCGGTGAACCTGATGAAAATGGCGTTTTAAAAACAACCATTTAATCTCTAGGAATGAATCGCAGAGCATACATCGAATGAAAAGACACTTATTCCAGAAATCTACAAAAATGTGTTAAGAAATAGTGGCAAATTTTATGGCTTTTATAACAGGATTCACTCCACATCCATCAGAATCTCAGCTAAGATTCTGTCTAGACACCAAGCTCCCTCTTCCCTAGCATCCAGTTGGAAGGCCAGGACCTCTGCACTTCTCAGCCTGCACCCATCTACTGATAAAGGCTCAGTTCCAGGTGAGGGTGGTAGTGAGAGGTGTGGGCTCACTTTTTCTACATAGGTCCTATTTGTGGGACGGACACTACTGGGCCTAGAAGACTTATGGGCTGTAGGTCCTACACCAACAGCATCAACTTGAAGAGCACTGAGGCTGCTCCCTTACCCTTACCCCCCAGGTCCTCAGCTCAGACACCACTGTCCCTACTCACAGCACAGAGCTGTGGCATAGGGGGGCAGGGAGTCTTTAAACAGGGAGCTCCTAAATTCTCCCAAAAGCATGGACTTTAAGCCACAAGATTCTCTCAAAAGCAGTGTGGGTTTTGGTGAGAGGTAACTAGGAGAGTGGTTACAGTACCTGGAGACCATAGACACAGACTACAGACCAGCTGCTGTGCTACAGAGAAATGGGAAATGTGGGGAAGGCCTTTGCTTGGGTCAGAACAAATCTCCAACACTGGTCTATAAAGCAATTTAGGCCTCAAGGAATTGTGAAAGGTGTGGCCCAGTGAAAGAGACTCTCCAAACGAGCCTAGCTAAACCATCATCCCAAGGCTGCATAAGGCAGTGGGGGGGGGGAGCAGGGAGGTGAGAAGTGATTTCTCTAAAATAACCAGCCAGGCAACAAAGGAGTAAACAAACAAGTTCAGGGGTGGAAAAGTAGAAGACTAGTACCAGAGCTACTACAACATATATATTATCTAAAATGTCCATTTTCTAACAAAAAAATTATAAGACATAAAAGCAACAGGAAAGTATAACTTATCAGAAAAAAAGCAGGTAACAGAAATCACCTGTGAGAGGACCAGATGTCAGACTTAACAGAAAAAGATGAAGTAGCTATTATATGAATGCTCCAAGAATCGATAAAATTATCATCAAAGAAGCTAAAGATAATATGATGACAGGGTCACAACAAATAAAGAACAGGAATAGACAAATTATTAAAAAGAACCAAACTCTGAAATGACTTCAATAAAGGGGCTCAACAGTAGTAACATGTAGAAGAATCTGTGAACACAAAAACGGATCAACAGAGACAATGCAACGAAGAAAAGAACGAACAAAAGAAGAAAACTAAACACCACCTCAGAGAAATGTGGGCGTCTTAAAACTAAGCACACCCAGAGAAATGTGGGCATCTTAACACTAAGCCCACCCAGAGAAGTGTGGGCATCTTAACACTAAGCACACCCAGAGAAGTGTGGGCATCTTAACACTAAGCCCACCTAGAGAAATGTGGGCATCTTAACACTAAGCCCACCCAGAGAAATGTGGGCATCTTAACACTAAGCACACCCAGAGAAATGTGGGCATCGTAACACTAAGCACACCCACAGAAATGTGGGCATCGTAACACTAAGCCCACCCAGAGAAGTGTGGGCATCTTAAAACCAAGCACACCTAGAGAAATGTGGGCATCTTAACACTGAGCCCACCTAGAGAAATGTGGGCATCTTAACACTGAACACCACCTCAGAGAAATGTGGGCATCTTAACACTAAGCACACCCGGAGAAATGTGGGCATCGTAACACTAAGCCCACCCAGAGAAGTGTGGGCATCTTAAAACCAAGCACAGCAGTATACATGGAATGGGAGTCCCAGAATAAAAGCATAGAGGAAAAAGAAAAAAATACTCCAAGTAACAGCTAAAAACTTCCAAAATTTACTGGAAAATAGTAATGTACACATCCAGAAGCACAACAAACTGAAAACTGAACAGGAGATCCACACATGTCGTAGTCAAATGTTTCAAAGCCAAATACAAGAAAATTTTGAGAGCCCAAAAGAAGAATGACTTATTGCTTACAAGGGAACCACCCTAATAGCCATTTCTGACCACAAACAAGGGTCGCAAGTAAAAACTTTGAATACTGTAGTAGATCTCCTCTTCCCAAGAAATCGTTGTTAATTAGTGTTGCTGTCTACTTATTTAATGATTTTTGTAAACTATTTACTATGTCCCTTCTTGAGTATTCACTTCAGCCTCTATTCCATTATTTCCCTAGTTAGCCAAGGACCTGACGCATTTCCATAAATGTCAGGATTCGATAAGAAAAGAAAAGATAAACAAAACTGCAGGAGAACCTGCTTCACTGCAAGGGGATGGAGTCAGGGAGATAGCCCCAGCACCAGACCTCCAGTGAACAAGGGCAATGTCAGAGGGGCAAACAGCTCTGCTGGTCCAGTGCTTCCCAGGAAGGACCAATGCCTGGCACTTCCTACTCAACTATCTTTTCTCACATCACAGAGGGAATCAAAACATGATCCGACTAACTATATGCTGCTTATTATAGACTCACCTTAGACCCGAAAATCCTAATAGGTTCAAAGAAAAGAATAGGAAAAAATATTCCATGTAAACAGCAACCAAAAGAGACTGATGTGGCTAAACTAATATCAGACAAAATAAATTTTAAGTCCAAAATTGTTTTAAAAATATAGCATTTGTCCACTAACTAAAAGGATCAATTCATCAAGACAAAAAAATTATAAATATAGATAAAACAAAATATACGTAGCAGTAACAAAAATGAAGAGAGAAATAGTTCTATATTAATAGTTGCTGACTTTGACACCCCATTTTTCAGTAACCAATAGAACATCTAGATAGAAGATAAACAGAAAAATAGGAGACTTGAACAACACCTTAAATCACCTAGAACTATGAGACAAATAAGAGGTACCTAAACCAACAAAAGCAGAATATACACTCTTCAGTGTACACTGGAACATTCTGATAAATGTGAGCCCATAAAATACCAAAAATTATATATTTATATTTCATGAAACAGTAAACATCCCCATCTATGAAATATAAGCAAAGTCCCACCATTTTATAAGCCAAATTTTCTTTCTGACTTTTTTCACATTAATACACAGTGAAGGAACTGTTCAGTACTTAACACAATCACCCGTGACAAATATTGCTAATTAATCAGAGCATCCAATGGGCAGAATGGTAAGTGTCTATAGTCCCAACTACTTAGGAGGGCTGAAAAGAATCATCTGAACCCAGGTTTGAGGCTGTAGTACTCTGCGATCATACTTGGGAATAGCAACTGCACTCCAGCCTGGACAAAATAGTGAGATCCTAT